GTGTGTGTGTGTGTGTGTGTGTGTGTGTGTGTGTGTGTGGGCTGGTCAGAGTGTATCATCTCACTGTCCTCTGGGAGCTCAGTTATCAGGGTGTAAACAGTCCAACTCACCAATCCTTGTGTCCAGCAGCTCTTTTCTCACCCCCAAAGCTGCCATTATGTAAAACTGGTCCGACCATGAGGTGTTACTCATCCCACATGTGGAATGACAACTAATGTGTTTTGTGTGAGTGGGTGTATGAGGTTTTGGGCTCGATGGACCTGACTCTAAGAGCGTGACGTTCCGGCTGGATGGCAACGGCGAGGTGTAAGCCAGTTAATAAACACTGGATGCGCTCTTTGTGTTTTTATCTCTTGCTGTTCCCTTTCAGGAAAACGAGTGCATGCGGATCAAGATCCTGGGCGACTGCTACTACTGCGTGTCCGGGCTGCCCGAGTCGCTGCCGAACCACGCCAGGAACTGCGTGAAGATGGGCCTGGATATGTGTGAGGCCATCAAGTAAAACACCAGATCCCTCCCTCCCTCCCTTTTCACCTCGCATTCTTCCTCTTCTTCGCACACATACACAAACAAACAAACAAACAAACAAACACACGCCTGTTAAACAGACTGAGCAGAAGGAATGCCAGCTTGAATTCTAGCAAACACAGAATGAATTCAATCTAAGCATCCTATCTGAGCCAACATGAAAAAGCAAGCAAATAAATATTGTTGCCCTCTTTCCCCTTTGCTTTTTGTCTTTGCATATTAAAATTACAGGATATTTTGGAGCTCTGGCTACATATTTATTCAGTGTGTGGAAATCCCTTTAACTACTTTGGCGTTGTGGATAAAATGCTTTCTGAATGGTGTTGACACAAAACGCAGTTTATTTTTGTGTTTCACAGGTGTTAGGTGCATATTTTCTTTCTCTTCTAATAAATGACCAACAACCCTTTGAAGGACTTTATATCACCCATCGCCTTTAATGCCAGAGTTTTAAATTAAGATGAAGTTGTAACCATTTTTGTTCCAACCCGGGTAATATTGTTACACGTAGTCTCATGCAATCATGTCACAATCTGAGCTCAGTATACGTAAAATTTACAGAGCTACAGCTATATTTTGTCTTGACTGCTGTCAACTGACTTTAGCAACCATCTTGAATTATCTTTAAAAGTTATTCAGTGTTCAAATGTAGATGTTTGCAGCTTCATAGAACATGAATAAACATCAATGAAGAATGATTTTTTTGAAAGAAACGTGTAAATAAAGAGGAAAAGCAACAAGAAAATACAAATAGACAAACTCATTTAGTGATGCAAAACAAAGGTAAACGCTCTCAGTCTTCCTGTGTTTTGTACCGGTCAAATTTAATAGAAAATAATAATGGATTAGCCTTATATAGCACTTCTTTAGACACAAGTTGCTTTACAGTTTTTCAAAATTCAAGGGTCAGAGGCCAATCTGTGAAAAAAATCTTGGTTTTAACTGTTTTATAAGAAATTATTCTTATAGAAATACATACAGTATAGTGTAGTTTTTAGAACATGCATAATCTAACAGGTAAAGACTAAAAATTAAGATTAGAAAGACATAATTAGCATTTATTTTATATGCCTTACTTTCTATCAACTCTGGCATTTAATATATCTTAGATGCATTTTATTATAATAAAAAAACATATTTGACTTTAAAGATTGAAGAGAATACAGAATTAAAGTCAATCACTGTCATAAAAACACTACACTCAATACAAAAAGAGAAACAATAAAACTACTTTACACTTTAAGTTTTATTTTGAGTCCAGATAAAATGTTAACGAGGGCTGGATTTGGCCAGCGGGCCTTCAGTTTGACACATTTTAGGAGTTGCCTGTCAAATGGATTAAGACCTCGTCAAACTCGAAAGATTTCCTTCTCCACAGAAAAGTCCGAGATGCCACCGGGGTGGACATCAACATGCGCGTCGGCGTCCATTCTGGAAACGTCCTCTGCGGCGTGATCGGACTCCGCAAGTGGCAGTACGACGTGTGGTCACACGATGTAACGCTAGCCAATCATATGGAGGCGGGAGGAGTGCCGGGGTAAGACGCCTCAATGTAGCGCTTTCATTTCGTAATCATTGTTCACGTAACGCACCGTTTGCCTTCCACACCCCATTACTGAGGCCTTACATCAACGCTTATTTTTAGAGGCACTTGGAACATAAGACATGTCTGATATAATTTCATTAGAAGCATTTTAGTAAATTACAGTTACCTCAGCTGACCAAGTAGCTCTGCATTAGTTATGTAGCCATTAGTTCTGCCGGCCTGGTGCTGTAACAAGCTTGTGAAAATTGGCCAGTGGGTAGGTATATGCTGCTCTGATAATAAGCTCTGTAGTACCACAATGTTGTCTCACCGGGCTGCTAATGGTTTGTCTCCCACTTTGCCTGCTGAGAGGTATCTGCAAAACATATCTGCTGGGAAAAAAAGGTTATTTCAATTTCTTTCTGTATCTGTGTGCAAGGGTAACAAACAAAGATGAAACGGCAGAACAGCGGGCAGGAGTGGTTAGAAAGCTGGCAGGCAAATAATGTGTTTTTTATAGCTGTCAATGGCTCGGTGACGCAGGAAATTCACCTCTCATTATCTGTTCCACTTACTGATCTCCAGGAGGGTCCACATCTCTTCTGTGACGCTGGAGCATCTGAAAGGCTCCTACAAGGTGGAGCCTGGAGACGGGCAGAGCAGAGACTCGTACCTGAAGGAGCACAACGTGGTCACCTACTTGGTTATCAACCCTAAGGTTAGAGTCCTATTCAAATTCATGATTCCGGGTAATTAGCTGTATATTTTGTGACTGTGTTTTCACTTCCTCTGGGCTGTTTACAGGCCAGAGAACTCATTTTAATTAGTGACTTTTGTTTTAGAAATGCAATGAAATTATTTGAAATGCAACAAGAGCTCACATTTTTACAATCCACCTCCACGGAGGGATGGGCAATCGTGCGAGCCTGTGTCTGTTTTTTTTCTGAGCCAGAGGACATGTTTTATTAAAACTCTTAGAAAGTAAACATAGAATAAGATAAATAAATGGTAAAAAATGTGTGATTTTGTCGTTGGCTAATTTACATATTGGGGAGGTAAAGATGAAATACATTTAATAAAAACAAACACTGCTCTTCCACTCTCTCATCATTGATTTTCTTTCCCTGCTTAAGCAAAAACAAATTTTAAAAATTCATAAAACACAAAACAAAAACAGACTATAGCTGACGAATATTTGTTAATGATGTCAGCATTAGTAGCTAAAAAGCAATTAAGTCCGAAAACATTTTATTATTGGAGGAACAGCAAACAGGGAGATTAATTAAAAGTAATGTTTTTTTGGGGCAGAAGTCAAATCTACTGTTGTAAAATTAAATATTTATTACCATGTTTTCCTGGTAGACCAGAGGTAATCACAACCCATATTAAATTTATTTTCTTGCCCCTATACAATCCACTTAAAATTTCAGTCTGAACGTGACAAATTCAAATTTTTCATCAAATCGGATGCATATCTGATGTTTTTCAAAGCGACCTCAGTCTGAACAGATATGTTGCATTTCATTGAACTCTTACGTCAGAGAGGTTCAGGTACACAGACTGATCCAAATATTTAAAATATGGATACCACCCTGCAGTTTAAATCTTGTAATGCCACACATCTTCAGCTACAGAACAGAAGTCCAACCACTTTGTTTTTGTTCATGGAATTTTCCATGTCCTGGATGACTGGGAATCTATAGAAATGATAGTAACATCGGTCTCAGACTGTATTGATAATAAAGTTATCAGAACAGCATGGTGCTCCAGTTCAAAAATACATGCTGCACCGGAACAACCGGTCAAAGGCAGGTTCACATGTTAGCAGTGAATGTGACATCACATCGTCTTCTTCACATGCACGTCTCATCAGTACTGTGGAAAGTTTACACTAGAGTCTGATGGAGGTCGCATTTAAAATAAGTTATCATCCACACAAAAAAATCTAATTTGAGCAAAAAATCTGAATCAAGCAATGTTGCAATGTTAACATAGCCTAAGGAGTACTGTTAGAAATGTCTATATAATGTAATATATACAATAAAAGTAAAATAAGTATTGAAAACGTCAACATTTTTCTCAGTAAATATATTACTGTAGGTGCTAATGACATGAAATTTTCACCAGATGTCGGTAACAACCCAAGTGATCCATACATACAAAGAAATCAAACCATAAATGTCCAGAAATGACCATAAATGT